TGATTTACTGGAAGTCTCGAAAACCCCCTTATAAACGAAAAATAAATAGTGTAGTCTATTGTTATAACAAATAGAACTTTGCATCATCGGTACTCCCACCAAAGAATGTGATATATGTAAATTCCTGGCTTTTCTTGAAATTCGCATCTGACCTGTGACTCAAGGACACTCGTGGCAATGTGTCGTAATGGTTAACGTGTCGAGACTTCATGCAGGGAGTGTTAACAAGATCTAGACGAGGTCGAAACTGCAGTTCATCATGAATGAGAACACCTTTTGGGAAAGCATGACTCTGCGAAATCCAATGGAAGCGTCAGCTCTACTCACATAATTGCAGGAAAATGCAACTACCAAGTCCTTCATTAAATTAAATGAGATAGTTTGAATACATCTTCTCCTCCTTTATTCACGAGTCTCGGCATCCTCTCTATCCTTGAATCTATTAAGAAGGCATAATTATGTATTACTTGACTTCTTGCCAATATTCCTTACATTCAATGTATTACCTACTCGGCTTATTTAGATGGCTTCTGATTTTTCGTTTAGTCTTAGACATACTGTAATCAGCAAAGCGAACAGTTTGAGGCTATTCAAGCCCATGTCCAGTTTCCACCGTGAGCTCTGCTCGTTGTGACTTTTTAAACCAATTGCCTCTAAATGCACTTTTGTGCTTAGTCACCCTTTTTCGAATGGGACATGAAGTCTCTCTAAGATAAAAGCGACCATATGAACACATTATCTTATAGCAACACAATCTGGATAATGGGTCAACTTTCTCTCTAAAAGTGAGCATAACTGAACAAAGTGCCATAGTTTACCTGAAAACCGTTTTTATCCCTCACTTTTTCACTCGTTCTACTATCTGTTTAAAGAAAATGCACGAATGCAAGGAGAAAATATGAGAAAAGTTCTCTTGATCTCTCCTTACGTATTCATCATTCAAAAATATATTCTTTATTAATACGATGTTATTTTTAATCAGCACAAGAGGATAATTATTTGAGTCGATCCAGTTCATTATCGCAATGGTCTCTATCGGCTAGTTTCATACTCTGTAGTATCATACATTTTAAAACGCCATCCTTTATTTGGTAGCTATAATTGGAAAAGAAGTGAAGGTTAAATCCAGCGTGTTTTGGCTTCCTATATACATCCCTGTTTAACTTCTCACCTGCTCTGATCACTACAATATCCAAAAAAAGTAAATTACTGTCCCTTTCTATCTCCATTGTTAAGTTAACATTGCAGTCAATCTGGTTAATTAAGAACAAGAAATTGTCTAAATCATCCTTACCATGCTGCCATATGAGAATGTAAACATCCATTTATCTAACTAATAGCTTTGGTGTCAGTCTTACCACTTTCATGAGGCGTTCCTCCATCCTTTTCATATAAGTATTAGCTAAAATGGGAGCCAAACAATATTTCATTACCAGGTTTTGCATCTGTTCATAAAGCCTTTTATTACTCATAGATAGATAAATTAGCCTTAGATTGAGCTTTTCCTCAGACTTGCTCCCTCAACAATATCTGGCTGTTCATCAAGGATGAGGGCCAGGGTTCAATAGCGTCTGAACTGGGATGTTAATATACATCTATACCAGGTCGAAACTCACTATAAGGTCGTCCTTTCTAATTATATTTTGATCTATCAGTATTGCTAAATCATACGAATTCCTCACTGAATATTTCCCATACTCAGCCACTTTCGTTAATTGTCTGCATAGAATCT